GGGAAGCTGCTAGACCAGCAAAGCCCGAAGACCACCTGTGACTCTCTAGAGCCCATGTAGGCTCAGCAGTGTAATTCCAATATTCCAATGGTGGTGAGATGGGAGCTGGAGCCAGGCATCTAGCTCCCTGGTGAAGTTCCAGGATAATGACAAACACTGTCATGACGGAAAGGCTTCTGGGAAATGACACCTGGTGTCCTCTGACCCTGCCCACACCCACACACAATCACACAGAAAGCAATAGCAATCAGGAGGATCACTTTAGGAGTTCAAGACCATCCTGGGCCACTCAGCAGCAGCTCCAGCTTTAAATAGCTGCAGGTGGAACTGTTCCACCCGTGTCCACAGCCTGTCACCTGCAGGCAGGCCTGCCTACGACACTAATTTATAATAACCCTGCGAGGTGGCTCTGAGATCTCCATATTATGGGTGAAGAAGCAGGCAGACGGGGCTGACTCTGTGATCCTTGCCTCATGAACATGCTCTTGACAGGTCCTGGGGGGCCCCCGTGGGAACCTGCCTGACTGTATCCTGTCTGCCTACAGCTCCCTACACCATCATCACTTTCCCCTTTCTCTTCGCTGTGATGTTTGGTGACGTGGGTCATGGACTGCTCATGTTTCTCTTCGCCCTGGCCATGGTCCTCACAGAGAACCGGCCAGCCGTGAAAGCCGCACAGAATGAGGTATGAACCGACCATGCCTGGCAGGGGTAGAGGATAGGACAGCGTTGAGCAGCCTCTCATCACACCACCTACCCCACTCCCTCAGATCTGGCAGACCTTCTTCGGGGGGCGCTACTTACTCCTGCTCATGGGTCTGTTCTCCATCTACACTGGCTTCATCTACAACGAGTGTTTCAGCCGGGCCACTACCATTTTCCCCTCAGGCTGGAGTGTGGCCGCCATGGCCAACCAGTCAGGCTGGAGGTAGGACCTCTATCCCTACACACCTAGGGCTTCTGGCCCACTGTGCAGCCCTGACATCATTTATTATCACTACAGTGACAAGTATCTGTCCCAGCACCCCATGCTCACCCTGAATCCCAACATCACTGGTGTCTTCCTAGGACCTTATCCCTTTGGCATTGACCCGGTAAGTGGGGCCACACTGGTGCATGTGAGTGGTAGAGGCTTTTGGGAGGCTGGCCAGGGCACCATAGCTCCATCTGTTCACTGCCCCCTTAGGCAGTTGGTACTGGACACTTTCTGTGTGTCAGGCCCAATGCTAAGCTTGGCACACAGGCAGAGAGGTCTGTAAAAATAGTATCCAGACTGAGTGTCGTGGTACACAGGTGTAATTCAAACATTCGAGAGGTGGGAGGCAGGAAGAACAGAGTTCAAGTGCATCAAGGCCTGCCTGGGTTACATAAGGCCCTGTCTCTTACAAATGAGAACCCAGCCTTGGGAACAACTGGTCCAAGTGACAGTCCTGCAGACATGTGTTAGCATTCCCTATGGCACAGATGAGCGTGAGGTGGAGACATGGGTGCTGAGCCCCTTGGGTGGGAAGAACCAAGCTCGAGCCCTGGTCACCTGAACCTGACCTGTGAGAGCCACTGTTCACTTCTTTCTGTTTCCCCTTCGAACTGGTGACGAGGGAGTTCTGGTTGGGTTCATCGGGGAGCAGGAAGGTGACGAGAGAGACAACTGGGGAGGCCCTGGCAAAACTGACCATGGTGTTCCTCAGTCCCACTTCTCCCATTGCCCCAGATCTGGAGCCTGGCCACCAACCACCTGAGCTTCCTCAACTCCTTCAAGATGAAGATGTCTGTCATCCTTGGGGTCACCCACATGGCCTTTGGGGTGTTCCTCAGCATCTTCAACCACATGTGAGCGCCGAGAGCTGCCAGTGGGAATGGGCAGTGTCCTCGTGGGGCCAGGAGAGTTCTGTGACCTGTCTATTCCCACAGGCACTTTGGCCAGGCACACCGGCTCTTGCTAGAGACCTTGCCTGAACTCATCTTCCTGCTGGGCCTCTTTGGCTATCTTGTGTTCCTCATTGTCTACAAGTGGCTACAGGTCTCAGCTGCCAGCGCCTCCACAGCTCCCAGTATCCTCATCCACTTTATCAATATGTTCCTCTTTGCCCAAAGCCCTACCAATCAGCCGCTCTTCCATGGGCAGGTACAGCTTAGACCCTTTCCCTGGGGACCCCCACTTCAGTCCCTGGGCCACCTGGAGCAGCAGAGCCATTTGAGAAATGGCTTGTGGGCCTGAATCCCTGCAGACAATGATGTCCAAGGTGATGGCCTCACCAGGGGGTGCTGGGAACCTCAAGTCCCTTCTCAGAGAGTCCCTGGGTGAGGGATTGACCATACCGAGCCACTTATTGCATGCATACACTGTGTGTGGTGGCCTTGCCCTCTTTGCCCACAGGAAGTGGTACAGTATGTGCTGGTGGTCCTGGCTTTGGCCACCGTTCCTATCCTGTTGCTGGGCACACCCCTGTATCTGCTGCGGCAGCACGGTCACAGAAATACTCAGAGAAGGCTGGCAGGCCAACAGGTAGAAATAGGGAGGAGTACGGGGAAGGAGGGCCGCGTGGGAAGTGTTCCTTGCTTCCCTGTGGCTCCATGCGGCTGGGTAGGTGGCATGGGCTATCTCTGGGGCTGGAGCTGTTGATGCTACCTGCTGCTCTTAGGACAAGGACACTGACAAGCTTCTGGCCTCCTCTGATGCTTCCACCTCGGAGAATACCTGGAGCCCTGATGAGGAGAAGGCCGGGATCCCAGGGGATGATGAGGAAGCTGAGGTCGGTGGGTGCAGCACTTCCTTGTTGGGGGGGGGGGGGCTGCCAGCCTCAGCTGCTGTCTCATTCATGGCCTCTTATCGTGCAGTTTGTCCCCTCTGAGGTCTTTATGCACCAGGCCATCCACACCATTGAATTCTGCCTGGGCTGCATCTCCAACACGGCCTCCTACTTGCGTCTCTGGGCCCTGAGCCTAGCCCATGCCCGTGAGTGACATTTCTCTCAGGCATCCATATCCTACCCTGTCAAACTGGGTTCCCCTCAGAGGTGCCTCACCAGCTCCGGGGAGGATTCAAGGATGCTACTGTGGGTCGGGATGCTAACAGGCATTGCCCCATCCTTGATCCCACTGTCCCCTTGTTTATGTGCAGAGCTATCTGAGGTCCTGTGGGCCATGGTAATGCGCATAGGCCTGGGTATGGGCCGAGAGATGGGTGTGACAGCTGTGGTGCTGGTCCCTGTGTTTGCTGCCTTTGCTGTGTTGACTGTGGCCATCTTGCTAGTGATGGAAGGGCTCTCAGCCTTCTTGCATGCCCTGCGGTTGCACTGGTGAGCACACCCGTAGTGAGCCTTGGCATGGAGGGAAGAGGGTGGCATTCTCCTCACTGGCCCCTTTCTCACCCCCAGGGTAGAGTTCCAGAACAAGTTCTACTCGGGTACTGGCTACAAGCTTAGTCCCTTCACTTTCACTGTGGACAACGAGTAAATCCACTGTGATCCCTGCCTCTCCAAATCGGGAAAGGAATAAAGAAAGAACTGGCTGGCCCAGGAACTTTGCCTTGGTCGTCTCTGGGATATGGGACTGGGCAGACACTACAATGATCAGAGCTCTGGATTCCAAATATGCTGTATACTTAGGCCACCCACCCTTCAGCTGAGGTAGTGGGTGGGAGGCACTGGTCTAGGATCTTAGCCTTTTAGAAGTTGCTGTGAGGACCTATGAACACGTCTGCAGACTCTTGGGGTGCAGAAGAATTATCTAGGGTTAAGAAGGAACATTCTAGTTTGATGGGAGTAGATCCCAGTTAGGTGGGAGGAGGCGTACAAACTGGCTTTGACTTCAGGCCCTGCCTCCCTGAAATCCTTAAGGTCCTCCTCCCTCCATGTTTGGTTGAGATGGGAGTGCCCTTTCATTCCCTCTGGCCAGGAGGTGCATATAGCCAGTGCATGTCAGAGACTAGAGGCCCTGTTTTCCAGCCAAGTTACAAAGTAGCTCATGCAGCTGAAGGCCCAACAACAAAGGCTGCTTTGAGGCCAGAGCTGCTTTGGGCACAGCTAGCCACAATGGTCCTGGCCAAGCTGCAGGGAGGGGTGTGGCCTGTGCAGGGTTGGGAATAGCAGTCTTTCAGACAGTTCACGTGCATGGCAGACTGAGCTAAGAGAAGTGTGATAGAGTTGGGCAGAAGAGCTGTGGATGATCCCCAGGAGACACCAGTAGGTCTACCCCAGCTCTGACACTTACTTGCTTGGACAGGCTATTCTGGTTGCCATGGGAACAGCATGCCATAGCACTAGCAAGCACTGGCCTGGCAGTCATCCCCACTAACGGGTGTGATCAGACTTGGATGGACCTGATCCCTGCTCACTTGGCCAGTCAGAAGTCCTGGAAAGGCTCACCACACGAACAGGAAACAGCAGGCAGGAAGGGGACAGGGCTACAGAGGTGATTTGGGAAAGACACTGTCACCAATGGGAAGGTTTAGGAAAGCATGGGGTGGTTAAGAGCATTACTGCTTTGCAGAGGACCCAAGTTTGGTTCCCAGCACTCACATGGGCAGCTCACAACTGCCTGTGACTCCAGTTCCAGGACATCCTATTCCTCTGGCCTTGTGGGACACTCGTACTATGTGCAGTACCCCTCCCCCACCACATAATTAAAGATAAGAAAATCACGAGGAGTAATCAAGCAGATGGTGAAGGAGCTACTATGAGACTGAGGACAAGCAGCCATGATCACGTTCACCCTAAGCTCCAGTGGAGAGTTCCAAGAGAGACCAGTGTGTTCCTGCTGAAGTTGTGTTGGTCAGAGTAACAGGTACAACTGTAGCTTCCTCTGCTGCTGTCTAGGCCTTAACTCCTGGCGAAGCAGGAAGGGTGGACGATCCCAGGATCTTTGCTATCTGGGGCCATGGAGACACCAGCATATGGTGTGACAGAGCATGAGGTGTGATGAGGAGGAAAGTACCTAACCCGGCACTCGTCACGTGGAGAACAAGGCGCTGACATACACGCAGGGTAACAGCCTGAGGATGGTTTTCAAGTTGTTTATTTTTCTGTATAATACAGTCTTGGTGGTAGCAGAAATATGTGCACAAAACAGAATTCAGAGTAAAAAAAAAATTCTAAGTTTATCCCATTGGGCATTTAATGTACATGGATTTCACAGCTCTAGTCCACCTGTACCCCGATACCCCACATACAGCTGCTGTCTCCCAGTAGTACCAGATGGGAAGCAGCTTTGGAGAATCCTGGACAGATATCCAAGTTCCAGGCTAGGCAGAGGGAAGGCAAGAAAGGCTGGGGAAGCTGGCCCCACTGCTCCTCCCCGGGGAGTCAGGAGACACTGACGTCATGGCCGGTCAGTAACACTGGCCCATGTACTCATGCGTAGGCAGGCACAGGAAGGCTACAGCTACTTTCTGCAGATGTACACCTGTAGCTCAAGTGTACCTGCTTCTCCAGGAAGTCTGCCCATTGACAGACCCCACGGCTTGGGCTCGACCCGATGAGCCACTTCACAGTATATGTCTGCTCACTCGCCCTTCAGAAGCATCACCAACAACACACTGTCACATTGTCATCTACAAAGCCTGGCCACAGATGTGTTGCAGTACATTAATATTCTAAGTCAGCACTTGGAGTACCCAAATGGCACTGCTCTGTCCGGCTGGAGCCATATATGGCTGAAAGCTGTAGCCATGCAGCCAAAAGGCCTCCAGGTTAGGTGGGTTCTGAGCTATTGCACTATTGTACTATATTTCTGCTTCCAATCACGGTTCAGAGTCCTAGTGAGAGCGTAAACAAAGATGAAAGAAATGTTACTCCACTTTAATATAGTCTGTAGTATCATACACATCGATGCTCGGTAGTGAGCCATCCAGACCTTCTGCCCAGGGCAGTGGTCACAGCAACGCTCCACCGAGGGCCTGGCACAGCCGCCTCCTGCAGTCCAGAGGTGAAGAGTGGAGTCATCCCATTCACACCCCAAGCTTCTTCTTCTGGTCAAAGTAGGCATCGAACCTGGCTTGGGCATACTCCTGAGAGACAGAAAACAGCACATCACTGTGTGGTCAGGTGGATCTGACCTGGACACCTGTGCTCTACCTCTAAGTGCCTAACTTGCTGCTGTGGACCACCACACACCAGAAGCACGTCTGCATGCCTGGTGCCCGTCCTTGTTCTAAAGTCCGTTCCGTCTAACAATACCATCTGATCAAACCACAATTCATTTATCAGTGGGTTCTTACACCGTGGAGCATGCAAGGAGGTCAAGGGACAGCCTGCAAGAGCCAGTTCTCTTCCCACCATGTGGGCACTAAATACTAGGAGGCTTACTGGCAGAGGCCTTTGCCTGCTGAACCATCTTGCTGACCCCCAAATCCGATTTAAGTATCCACATTTCTCCTGTCTTTGCCTGATGGCATCATTACCAAACCTCTCATCTAGGCTCAAAAGGGGCTGAGTCAAGTGGACAGACCAGCCCAGATTCCCTCTGTTCCAGACTATAGACCCAGCTACCACTTGGCTGAAGCTGGCAAGCAGCACCTATGGCCCTTGAGTGAGGCAGCTAGCACCAGCAAAAAGGGTTTCCAAAGCCAAACTAAACCGGCGCTACCAGGACACCAAATGCTCCTGCCAAGCATTCACACACTACAGTGTTTCCTTGCAGCCAAAAAAAAAAGAAAAAAAAACAAAAACTGCGCCTGAAACATACATACCATGTACCCAAATTCAATGGATGAAATCTTGGCCTGTACAATGGACCAAAGTCCCCAGAGGAAATGGGAGGCGAGGGCAAATCTGTAATCACAAAAGTGAGAATCTCAGCACATAAGCCATGCAAGGTCAGTCAGGGAACCAAAGATGTTATGTTATACCCATGGCCATGCTACCAAGCATCTCTCTTAATGCATTAAGTGCTGCTGCCTTGGCCCTTTTGTGGGACTGTATGTGAAGGGACTGGACTCTTCCCACCTCTGACCATGGGATTGCACCCAGCTGCCTGGTCAGGGAACACAGGACACTGGGGTGGCCATGCTCTGCTGCAGGGGAGTATATAGAACCCAGCTGATAGCAGCTCCTGAAAATCCGCCCTATACACTCAGAAGGAAGCTGTTCCCTGAGCAGGAGCTTCTCCAACCCAGTCACCCACACCCTCCTTTCCTACTGATGTTAGGACAATAGCAGGTGAATAGAGCCATGTCACCATCTCCAGTCTCAGGACAAAACCACACTGACTGGCAGCAACTTTACAAGACAAAGCTTACCTGTTAACCTCAAGCAACATGTCTTCTTTTGTAGCGAACTGCTCTTCACCACTGAGGCTTTCAAAATCATTCTGGAATGCAGCCAAGTAACTGGAAATAAAATGGAGCTTAAAAAAGAATTGACTGTGTTAGGATGGATGACGGTTAAAAAAAACACTGCTAAAGCTATTACTACATACACGCCTATCACACAGGCTGCCGCTGCCTTTGTGCTGCCAGAGTGAGAACAGCAAGGCCATGGTGACTTCTGACCCTGACCCAGGGGATCCAATGCCCTCTTTTGGCCTCTGCAGGCACTGTATACACACAGAGAACAGACAGATATTCATGCTAAGAAAACACCCTTACACACAGAAATTCAAAACAAGAACTCCAGGATTCCATGCACTACAAAGTATCTACAGTGGATTTAGGGGGGGAAAGCTCTATATTACTTCAACATACACAGAGCTAATGTCTGACAGAGTCCCACATGCAGACTATCTTTTCTTCTGTTTTTTATTTATGTGGTGCTAGGATCAAATCGAGGGTTCCGCACACGCTGGTCAAGCTCCCTCCGACTAAGAGAGACATCCCCTGCATCATCTCAACAGTTCAGAAAAATGTAACTAGAAAGTAACTTGCACATTATTCTAAAGTTTTAGCACTGTCTTTGATAACCACAGTCTGCTCCTGGCTGCCATTCCCTGCTCCCAGCTATTCTGACAGTTCTGAGATCTGGGGTCATCTACTCTATGGGTCCAGTTTCTCTTCCACCAAGCCTAGGCCCAATGCTGTCAACTGTGTTCTGCTCCCCAACTCCAGAAGCTTGGCTGCCTAGCTTTGGACACATTCATCTCCAACAGCCTTAAAATGTGTCCAGACAGAGTGATGACACTTTCTGATATCTTAGCAAGCTCCCATTTGAAGGGCCAGCCCTGGAATGGAGTGTAATTTCTGAAGTCTCTTCATGGGGCTCCTGATGCTCCTTGATTGATCTGCAGCAGTGGTTTGTTCACATCTGTCTTCACAGGGAGCATTTGAGCCACCATCCTGCAGCTGTGGAATCCCAGGTGAGTTTGGCTTGTTCATTCCCTGCCCACTTTGAGGACCAAACCCCAATAAGCTTCCACCCAGGCTTCAGAGATAGGTTGAGAAATGAGAGAATCCCAGGAGCATAATTCCCACAAGAAATGATACTCCATATAACCAGCGTCCTCCTGAGGATGAGAAAGGAACCATTCACAGTGATGCTTTTCCTCCAGTTACACACCAGTTCATGAAATAAGCAGGATGCTCAGCCTAGCCCACATGCCTAGGAAGTGGGGCTTTTGGCAAACACTGGAGGAACCATAGGAGGCCTGCCACCCCTCTAACTGAACCAGGTGTTTACAGCACAGGAAGTTACCAAAAGATGGACTCAGATGTCCAGTATGCACTCCACATCAACAGAACAAAACTTAAATTATTGTCTTGTGGTGGGTGGTAGTGGTGGCACACGCCTTTTAAGCCCAGCACTCAGGAGGCAGAAGCAGGCAGATCTCTATGAATTCAAGATCAACTTGGTCTACAGAACAAGTTATAGGATAGCCAAGGCTACACAGTCCTGTTTTTTAAAACCAAACTAAAACAAAAAACTTACTACTATTATTAGGGATTGAACCCAGGGCTTCTTACACGCTACCAAATGCTTCCACTGATCTACAGCACTCCTCTTTACTATGATGCATTGCACTGCAGTGTAGCCGAGGCTCACAATTCTCTTCCCCCTGTTCCTAAGCAGCCCCAGCCAAAATGATGCTTTTAACACAAGTAAAAGGATTTTCCTAAGCCTTTTTTTGCCATAATTTAAGCAGAGCTATCATCATAGGGCTGGAATGTGACTGAGTAGTACAGAATACTCATCTGGCATGTAAAGAGGTCCCAACTTTAGTCCCTAGAAAAAAAACACTCTCCTTCCCTCTTTCTCCCTTAAATGAATATATAGACTATCTTTTAATAAATATGTTTCAGAGTTGGTGGTACATGCCTTTAATCCTAGCATTCACGAGTCAGAGGCCAGTAGATTTCTGATTTCAAGGGTAGCCTGGTCTACATAGTGAATTCACGATAGTCAGAGCTACAGTGAGACCCTGTCTCAGAAACAAAACAAAATAAATACAAGGAAAATAAAAAATGAGCATGTAACCCTAATTATGTAAAGCTAGTTCACATATAAAGCTAATTTATCAGTACAAATGAATCTCCTACCTGTTGTTTTCGGGTAGGATATTTCCGAATGTTCGCTCTGAAGAAAGGATATTTTTCATAGGTATAATCATACATCCATTCACAGAAATGATTTCCAATATCAAATCCCCTGAAAGAGAACAATGCAGGCAAGATGTGAGGCACGGTGCAGAACCTGCAGGCTGCCTGAGCAGAAAGGAAGAATCTGAACGGGGGCTGAGGAGAGGGCTCAATGCTGAAGAGCACGCGCCGCTTTTGCTGAGGACCCATGACGGATCTGATGGCCTCTCTGGTCTCCACAAGTCCTTGGCACTAGACACACACACATGATATTCATACATACACATAAATATATATATTAAAAAGCTGAATAAACCTTAAGTGGGATCTCTGGTTCCCAAGGTAGGCTTCTGGAGCAGACCAGAGAATGGCAGCTTTAATGCACAGACAATCAGATGAGCATCAGCACCATAGCGGACTGCAGACCACAGTACTACCTGAGTGCTACTGTGCACCCGAGCACAGTGCTTCCTTGGCAATCACTACTCGTGTCAGGACAACCATCTTGGCACTCCAGAGAGAGAGAGGTAAACTGCTTGTGAGTAGTTGCTCCAACTGCTTGGGCAGGTGTGTGCTGACCTGCCTCAGGGGCAAAACACCTTCCTTTCTGCTCAGTGTGCTGTTTGTGCCTATAATTGCTCTGTATCACAATAATGAAACTATACTGAAATCAGCATCTGACTGTAACACATTACCTGTAATTGTAACTGCTGTATTCAAAGTCAATGAGCATCAGCTTCTGCTTTTCAGAATTCTCTCGGCCGTCCAGCAGTAAGATATTACCTACAAAAGATTTGGATGATGAAACATTTTTTTAAACACAAGGCTCAAATCCTTGGGCAACAATTGAGAGTGATTCTGGCCCTGAATGATTTCAGTTTTGGTCCTAAAGACATACAGGGCAGACAGAGTAAAAGTTTTGTCACGATGGCCTGCTCTAAGCAGGGAGGCTCCAGGATCACTTGTTCCTAGTCCCTGTCCTGCTGGGCATGCAGCACTGTCTTTTCAAACACCTCACAGTTTGTGTTAGGTTGCATTTGGTCTCCTTACCTCAATCTCCTGGAGCCTTGGGACTGGGTTGCTGTCATCAGATGGCCAACTGGGGCCCAACTGATTTGTCCTTGCATGCTGTTCCAACCCAAGAAGACAGACAATGGCCATGATGTTTCCTCCAGCAATGAATCTAGGCAGGTGTGTGACTGCCAGCCTGGTTGTACCAGCCCATTTCCCCTAGATTCCCTACTAATGTGTTCAGCAACTCAAGAGTGGGTGAATGGGCCTGAAGTTCCATCCTTTGCTAACTCTGGCCACTCTCCCTCTCCCAGGTTTCTAATGGAGCCAGTTTCTAGGCTCTACAGAATATTCCTATTGCTTCCAAAAGCAAGAAAAACGAGAATGGGGCAGACACCCAAAATTGTACAACAAAATAAATGCAAGCTGTCATTTCTATCCTTTCTACACTTGGCCATCAGACAATTCCTCTCTAGTGATGATGGTCTGCACACCTTATCCACCCACCATCAGGCCCAGAAGGGTGTGGCTAACTTAGCACAAAGCTGGCGCTGAAATTTCTATACCCTGCTCTACCCCACTAGTGGGCAAACAATGATTAACTAATCAGAAAAGCACTTTGGCTCAAATTAATGGCTTATTGATGAGGAGTCTTCATAAGAAACTGATCTATAACTAAAAAACTAGAGGTATGATTACATAATCTCATGATCTGATGGCCAGCCTGGGCAACATGACAAGATGCTGTCTTGAAAACAAAGACTAGCTGAGTGGTGGTGGAGCACAGATTTAATTTCAGCATTTAGGAGGCAGAGTCAAGAGGATTTCTGTGAGACTACATAGTGAATTCCACGACAGTCAGAGCTACACAGAGAAATCCTGTCTCTCCCGCACACACAAAGAAAACTCAAAACCAAACCAAAACAACAACAAAACCCAGGATAAAGTCCCAGACAAGGACTGTGTTCATCTATGTCAGGGCAGATGAAACATCAGAGCAACATAGGCAGACAGTGTGGGCAAAAGGAACTGAGCAGTTGGGTGTTTTAAAAACTATTATACCAGTACAATTCTGTGAGAGCGGCATACTTCACTGCAATTTTTCAAGGGAAATGGTCTGAGTCTTTAGTTGTGTGTGTTTTATGGGAAGGTAGTTTTAGTGTGTTGCATAGAGCCCACATGATCTGGGTCTTCTGCTTTGCAGGCTAAAGTAGGAATATCTACCATAAGGAGTTACACATCAACAGGTATATGTAGCTTCATTCCAGATCTTTCGGTAATTAATACTCTACTCATTTTTTGAAAACTTGTTTTTCTTAGTATAATCCAGAGGGTTTTCTTTGGTATAAAGCTCTAGCTCAATTTTATCCTTACACTTCACTGGCTGGGTGCTCTTAATTCCAGCATGCTAGTACACTTGTACCACCATCTTGCATGGCTCATACACATACATTAGCTGTCTTTTAAGTATAACACAAGCCTTATCTTTAGCATACCATGGCAATTCTTACCTTCTTGACAGTCGTTATGACAAAATACAACCGGAGATCTAGTGTACCGCAGCAATGACCTGAAAAAAGAAAGCCTCACTGTTACCTCTCTAGTTCAGTAAGGTGCACACATACTCATGCAGTCAGCACAGAGCAGCATTCTAGCACAGTGCAGAGAGGCTGAAGGGGCTCTCTGCCGAGACACACGGACATGGGTTTCAGAATACAAGTGTGTGCTGTGCACACTGCTCATGCTATCCTAGCACACACCGCTGTTTCACATGAGCCTGCTCCCTGACTTAGAGCAGATGGAGAGTGGTTTCCCTCATGCATGTATCAGAACTAGACAATTGCTTTCTGTTCAAATAAAGTCAGAGCTCTTTAAAGGCCTAGGTACCATTTCCACCTGGCATAGCACACAAGTCTGCACCAAGACTCACCAAGAAGACAGACACAAGAGTTTCCTTTCAGAAACCAATCTCAAGGTCTTTTTTTTTTTTCTTTCCTTTCTTTTTTTTCTTCTTCTGAGACAGGGTTTCTCTGTGTAGCCCTGGTTGTCCAGGAACTGGCTCTGCAGGCCAGGCTGACCTTGAACTCACAGAGATCCGCCTCCCTGTCTCCTGAGAGCTGGAATTAAAGGTGTATGCCACCACTGCCCCAGCTGAAATCTCAAAATTAATGTCTCCCAGGGTCTAGATTTAGTTTCCTATATCTCTGGCCTACTACCTTCAACCATCATTCCTGCCCTAGGCAAATCCTCACTTGGCAATCTACATTAAGGGCTAATGGCTCAATGAAATAAAATAAAATCTTAAAAAGACTCATCCCCCCAAAGCCAGGTGAGGCAGTGCACACCTTTAATCGCAGCAGGGAGGCAAAAGCAGGTCAGTCTGAGTTGACACCAGCCTGGTCTACAGAGTGAATTCCAGGATGACCAAGCTACACAGAGAAACCCTGTCTGGAGTGGGGGTGGGAGTGAAGGGGGAGAATTCCAATTCACCAGGACTTACTCCCAAGAGAATATTTACTCTGTAGGTGAGGAGCTTACCAACCCAGGGCAGGGGACAGAAGGCTATACTCACCTCAGGTTTTCAAGCTCCAGAGGCAGATTGTAAGCAAGGATCTTGTGCAGTTGTTGAGCTTTGGCCTCCCCACTAAATTTGAGTCTTAGCACCTGATTCAGGTATCTGTCATAGGGAAGACAAAGACCAGAGTTAGGCTCAGCAGGTGCATCCTCAGGCCCCACTCACATACCCAACTCCTGTCAGTCCCAGTCCCAAGGAAGCCTTGTGGTCTCCAAGAAAGAGGGAGGAGAGATTAGACCTACAGTTCTTAGGGAAGCTGGCTCTCCACCCTCTCCACCCACCCACAGCAATTTTGCAAAGAAGTCTTCTTTCTTGGTCCAGGAATTGATTGATTCATGCAAGAAAGACTATCATGAGACACACATTGCAAGTGATGGCATGCACACCAATGATCCAAAGGGGCCTCTGACCACCCTGGCAGATGAAGGGAAGTACCCACTTCTGCTTACTGCCAAAGTCACCAGGGTAAAAGAGACCAAATAATCTGAACACTCACTTCTCCATTGTTCCAAAAAGCCATTTTGGTTCCTTATTGAATGGCATTTTCATTCCATGAAATGTGGCCATTTTCTCAGCTATTTCTGCAGAAATATCTGGTAAATGTAATTCTTCAGTGTCCAATCGCCGACTCTGGAACAGAAAAGGGGGTTCAGGTACTGACATTTATCAATGCCATCTAACAATTGTATTGAGACCACACCACATTAAAACCAAAAACCAATAAATTATTCAAGCCTCAACCAGCGCACAAAATTTTCTTAAGAATGGGCATGCAGGGCTCGAGAGATGGCTCAGAGGTTAAGAGCATTGCCTGTTCTTCCAAAGGTCCTGAGTTCAATTTCCAGCAACCACATGGTGGCTCATAACCATCTATAATGAGGTCTGGTGCCCTCTTCTGGCCTGCAGGCATACACACAGACAGAATATTGCATATATAATAAATAAATAAATAAATAAATAAATAAATATTTAAAAAAAAAAAAGAATGGGCATGCAGTCAGGCATGGTGATATATGCTTTTAATCTCAGTAACTCATGAGCTAATGGCAGACAGATATGTGAGTTCAAGGCCAGTCTGACAGTGAGACCCTGTCCTCCAAAAAAAGAAAGACAACATCCATGACACGTCTATAGAGAGAAGCAGGTCTACCTTGTTAAGAACTGGAGGAAGTACCTCCTTCAGTGAACTAGAAACACCATTCCTGTGACTTGTGACTGCATCTCTACAGCTACAGCTGGTGTCCTCACTTGTCAAAACTGACAGCCTATCTTCAGTAGATTCCAGTATTCCATCAGCTGAATATCCTATAGAGGGCTGCCAACTGCTCCTGCTGTGTCCTTAGCACCAGGGTTGACATGGAGCAGGCACGTGCTACACTAGGTGGACATGAAGGTCAAATCTTACCCTGTAGATACTATGCTGTCGCTGACATAACCTGAGGCCTGGCTCATCCTGACAGCCTTTCCACAGGTGTTCAAGGAATTCTATGGTCTAGGAAATCCTTTGACTTTTCCACACAAGCTGGATCCCTGCAGGACTCAAGGTGGCGTCTTCCTGAAGCTACAAAGCAGCAGGCCTATGGCAGGAGTGCTGCCCAGTAAGAGAAATCTTGCTCAAATTCTTGCTTCAAAGACATGAGCTAGGTGTGTGATTTCATTCCTCAGTGTCTTGTTTCCTGAGTAGAAATAACTCAACTCTCTTAAGAGTTGCTTTCAGGGTGAAGGAGATTCTACCAAATCCAGTGGAAAACTCAACAGTTAAGGTATTTGACACCTAGCACTGTGACCCTTGTCTTCACAGAACTTACTCTGAACTAGATAGGAATTATTTTTTGTTTTGTTTTATTTTCTTTTTCAAGACAGGGTTTCTCTGTGGCTTTGGAACCTGTCCTGGAACTAGCTCTGTAGACCAGGCTGGCCTAGAACTCACAGAGATCCGCCTGTCTCTGCCTCCCGGGCGCTGGAATTAAAGGCGTGCGCCACCACCGTCCGGCGGAATTATTTTTTTGTTTTTGTTTCTCAAGACAATGTTTCTCGGTCCTGGAACTCACTCTGTAGACTAGGCTAGTCTCAAACTCAGAAGTCTAGCTGTCTCTGCCTCCTAAGTGCTGGGATTAAAGGCGTGTTCCACCACCACCACCTAGCTCAGATGGGAATCTTTAGTTGATTCTCCAAATGGAGGGTGACTGGGCCATGGATCAGTTTGAATAATCATGTAAGTCAGTTCAAAGGGCCACATGTTTGTGTGTGGTGCCCAAAGAGTCAGAAGAGACTGCTGGATCCCCTGGAACTGAAGCTACAGAATTTAGTTGTTAGCCATCATATGTGTGCTGGGAATTAAATTGGGGTCCTCTGGAGGAGCAGTTGGTGATCTTAACTGCTGGGCCATCTCTCCAGTCTCTCACACATAATTTTAACCTGTATAACTATGTCTATATATTAAAGAAAGGTTACTATATATTCTTTTTTAAAAAAATATTTATTATGTATACAATATTCTGCAGGCCAGAAAAAGGCACCTCATTACAGATGGTTGTGAGCCACCATGTGGTTGCCGGGAATTGAACTCAGGACCTTTGGGAGAGCAGAGAATGCTCTTAATCACTGAGCCATCTCTCCAGCCCCACTATAGATTCTTTAAATGCTAAGCATGCTAGGCAATCATTCTACTATCTCAGCTACAGTCAACACATTTCCTTGACTTTACTTATGACCCAGTTTATTTACACAGATCACATTAAATTCCTTTTAAGACTTTATTTGCTTTATTTTCTGTGACTTTTATCTGCATGCGTATCTGTGCACATGTGCATAATCTGGTACCCACAGAGGTCAAAAGGTGTTGAATCCTCTGGAGCTGGAGTTACAGATGGTTATGAGTCAGTACCGAGAACCGAACACAGATCCTCAGAAAAGCAAAAAGGCTCATGGCTTCTGAGCTACCTCCCAATTATTATTCCTCACATTTATAAATATCACATTTACTATTTCAAATGACAGGATTTCAGACTTTTACTGCTAGGAGGAACAGAGTTCACTTCTCGCCTGTGGTTTACATAATCTTACCGGGATAAACTGCTCCAGTCGGCCTTGGGGAAAGATGCCATAGAGTTTTGGCCCAAGTGACCTCTCAGCAAGAATGGCAAACATAACACTCTCCAGAACCATCGCTTCAGCCCCCTGCAACAGATGTGAACAGAGCAGGGGTTAGTATTTTCAAGGCAGGAAGTGCTTTTTCAGGAGCAAGTTCCTCCAAGCCTCTAGGCCACTCTTTAGCATGGACAATGATCTCTCTCTCTCTCTCTCTCTCTCACACACACACACACACTCACACACATCACTCACTCTCTCAACCTGTACAGGATCTAGCTCACAGCATTATACTATATAGTTATTTAAAATTCAATTTAGGTCACTAGTTCCAAAAATACAATTTTCCCTCCAAGTAAAGTTAAGAAGAAAAAGTTTTATAGCCCAATAGTATATATTAATACTTTGCAAAAAATACTTGAAGACAAATAAAAAGTTTGATGTTCTACTAAAAAAAATTGTGCTAACACTTTTTGTTTGCTTTATTTGAGACAAAAATCTCAGCCCAGGCTGGCCATGAACTACTTATGGAGCAGATGATTCTCCTGCCTCTGCTGGGACTACAGGCATGTGCCACCATGCTCATTTTGTTTGATACAGGGACCCAACCCAGGATTTCTTACATACTATGTTAGAACTCGACCAAATGTTCCCAGCCCTAACCTGTACATAGTCCTATATGCCTGTGGTTATTCCTATACTGTTACCATGTGAACTATACCTTCAGAAGACAGTGGGTTATCTGCTAATAGAGGTCCCTTCTCATGTCAAACAATGCTTCCCAAAACAAGTCACTGGGTTAAGGGTCACTTTTATTAAGGGCTTTTACTGTGTCCATCTATTTTACAATCTAATTGTTTGAATCTCACTCTTGGCCTCTCAGAGACACCACCATCCATTCTGGTGAAGATGACTTGATTCTCCATTGAGAGCCTAGTGTGTTTGAATGCTCCAAAGGTCTCCTGCCTAGTCTGTGGGTTCCAGGTTTTGAGTTTCAATTCTTGCCTCTGCTAAATTCTCCATAAACTGCTATGCATTTTAGATTCATTTACTTTGTGTGTATCAGTGTTTCTCTGCATAAATATACGTGTACAATGTGCATAGCCTGCTGCCTGAGGATGTCAGAGGCACTGGATCCCTTGGAAGTGAAATTTTGAATGGCTGTAAGCCATCGAAGAGATACTAGGAACTGAACCTGGGTACTCTGCACAAGAAACAAATGATCTTAACCACCTTATCCCTCCTCCCATTTCCTATCTTTAGTCCTCATAACTATAGGCTCTAAAAAAAAAGGATGGGCTCAAAACCCATCCTTTTTTTCCAGGTCACATTCATTCCTCAGTCATTCCCCAAACAGCAAATTAGTGCATGTAACTGTCAATCTGTTAGAGTGACGAGGTGAAAAAGCCCTTGACACTCACAGGTAACACTACCCATTTATTGTCCTAGGTAGTAGCTCAGATCCCATTAAAATTTCTAAAACTTTATTGTCTATACACAGGCACTTACATGTCATGGAGCTGGTTCTCTCCCACTACCTAATGGGGTCTGGAGCTCAAACTCAGGTGGCCAGACCTGTGTGCCAGCGCCTCTACCCACTGAGGATTTCACTTGACCCCAATACCATACCAATAGATGTATCGCTTGTTCTAAAAACAACTCTTCCCCTTCTTTCCAGCTTTCAGGTGATTTTGATCACCCTTTGTTAAGAAATGTCCTGTGGGGGAATGATCCCAAAAAACATGCTTATGGCATTCACATGAGGGCTGGGGATTTAACTCAGTGGTGGAACACTTGCCTACCGAGTACAAGGTTCTAGGTCTGCTCCTCAACTCCAAAGGTTTAAAAAAAAAAAGACAAAAATTGACCTCAGAAACTGAGGACAAGCTCATTAGGCATGGTAGAATGCTATAGCTAATAACACAAAAGAAAAAAAAAGTACAAAAAGTCATAAGGTCACTTTCCTGGTGTGTGGACAAATGCTTGTTTCTAATCCCCCACAATTAGAGTTTAACTATAATCTTATATAATCCCTATATTAGGCTAATTATACCTTTCAAGGTTCAATCCATATTTACTAATTGCAAGTGTGTGTATTTGACAATATACATATATTAAGTCGATCAGACTAAGTTAAGGGATTAGGTATCACATGGATTTATATCTTTTTTGATAACATCAAATACCTCTGTTTAGCAGATGAAATGTTTTCATTGTTCATCTGACCCTCTTAACACATTGGCTTAGGAGGCATAGTCACTGCAGCCCTGTCTGACCTGAAGCCCGATACTGCAGAGACTCTCAGGGGAGCTCAAGCGAAGGCCCTCAAGGTGTCCTCTGCTGTAGTCCTCTCCCCTGTGGGCTGGGAGCAGTCTCCTCGGCGCCTCTTACAGTGGAAACTGCAAAAGCAAGCAAAGCCTGACCATAACTGAACACGAGGATCCTGGGGTCAGTTCTAGAGCAGGCAATCTACCAGGTATAGCTCCTTGTAGCTATATGCCATCTGTAGAACTCTCCCCCAACACCTCCAGTTTCTAACTTCCAATCTAATCTTCTTTGTCTAAAAATCCAGAATTTTGTTATGATTAAAATGTGTTTCTCAACTCTTCACACTGCAGAGTGACTGAAATGATCACGAGGGTTTAACTGTGTAACACATATATCCAATCCTGCTTCTTCCTCAAGTTTCAAGTGTTACTTTTATACTTTTTTCTTGAGAAAGTCTTATGTAGCACAGACTGATCTTGAACTGGTTACAGCTAACCTGAACTTCTGATCTTCCTTCCTCTATTTCCTTCATTAAAATTCCTGGGATTAAAAGTGTGAACCACCATGCCCAGTTTATGCAATGGGCTTGCAGACAGAATCCAGGGCTTTGTACACGCTGGACAAGCACTCTGCCTTTTAATTGAGAGAGAATGAGACTATGTGAGCTTGCACATGTGGCTGCCCACATACCACAGTATGGAGATCAGAAGACAACTTCTAGCAGCTGGTTCTCTCTTTCCGCGGGGCACCGAAGACTGAACTTAGTGGCAAGTGGTAAGTTACCTTTACCAAGTCATTTTGCCAGTCTTTCCTGTTTGGTTTATAAAACAAAATCTTTCCACGATAGTTCAAGGTACTCTTTATTTTTTTTAATTAAAAAAAATTTAATTTCTTGCTAGGCGAGAGCACAAATGCAGCCCCCCACTACCACAAATTATGCAGTCGAGTTTCACGCATTTGGGGAAATCGCAGGGGTCAGCACATCTGGAGTGCAATGGATAAGCCTGACCCTGGGAAAACCACCTTCATGATCATGGTATCTCCCCTGCCAGGTGAAGTGGTTTTTTTGTTTTGTTTTGTTTTGTTTTTAGGATTAATTTATTATGTATAGTGTTCTGTCTGCATGTGTGCCTAAACGCCAGAAGAGGGCACCAGATCTCATTACAGATGGTTGTGAACCACCATGTGGTTGCTGGGAATTGAATTCAGGATCAGGTTACTCTTAAACTCCCAATCCTCCTACATCAGCTTCCCCAGTGCTGGACTACAGGCAGCACCACAATACCTGGTCTCATAATCAGATTTAAAGTTCAGTGAGTTCAGCACTGCTGATGTGTGTAACAGCACTGTTGCTGGGACCTGGATTAAAAGTCTGTCTAGATTCCTGTGGAGGCCATCAGCCTAAACACAGACATGGTGCCAAGATAGAGCTATAAGCACTTCTAAGCCACCTATGTCTCCCTGATGGCTACCTGAAGCAAGTGAGCAGCAGGCAGAACCAGGGCTTGATCCACAGCCCACCCCTCCACACCACTATCTGGTGTGTTACTAACCATAGGCTAGTGTTACTTTTTGGAGAAATCAATACCTTAACAATTTACTTTGTTTTTTTAGAAAAAAAAAATCTTTCTTTCACTCATTCAAACACCACTGTGGCCAGGCAGTGGTGGCACGTTTTTAATCTCAGCACTCTGGAGGCAGTGGCAGGAGGATCTCTGAGAGTTCAAGGCCAGCCTGGTCTACAAAGTGGATGCCAGGATAGCCAGAACTGTTACACAGAGAAACCTTGTCTTGAAAAACCATACACAAAACAAAACAAACAACAACAAAAACAGAAAATATTTGGTACATATCTAGTGCTAAATATCAGGAAACCAAAGAATAAGCCTCACCAGGCCCCATATGTACAAAATTCACATAGAGAAATAGGAAATGACTAAAGTCAAGGCTATGATGGGACAGAAGGCTGGAAAGACAGGTTATCAAAGGGCAGGGATTTCCAAAGAGACAACACTGACCCAGGACCCGAGAGTGCAGGGTACAAATGAGCTATGGCTGTCTTGATGGAGGAAGTCTGGAGCAGTGAAGGAAGGGTGAGGTAGGGTGGCTGCAGCTAGACTAGGGTGATCAGGGCAGGCAGGACCATGCTAAGCAACATGCCCTGAAAGCTCACACTGAGCAAACGCCCAGAGCAAAGGAAGAAGCGGCCTGTTTCTGAGAGCTCCCCCACTACAGCAATGGCCTTGTGGTGAGTAGCAACACTGTAAAAAGCTGTGTTAATGACACAAGGCTGTTGCACAGCAGCTGAGCTTACCTACAAAAGACTGCACAGGACCCAAGCCAGTCAACATTCCAGCACAGGGGGAGGGACATACAAGATCACTCTCAGCTGAGGGGTTGTTAGTAGTTATGGCAGTTAATGGTTCCTGAGGAAGGGAGCGTCAGTTTTCTCCAAGTATGCAGCCCTGCCTGGTTACCCATATTCTAATGGATGGCCCACATCCAAGTACTAAGTGGACTCAAGAGGGGACAAGAAGGTGGGAAGAGGACATGGGTGGGGTCAGGAAGACTGGAAGGGGAGTAAGGGATTAACAAGATTAAGATACATTTACATTATACAGGGAATGGAGAAACTCTGAGGATAAGAGAGGTTAAGAGCACTAGTTGCTCTTGTAAAAGACCTTGGTTTGATTCCCAACACCCACATGATGGCTCACAATCATATTTAACTCTAGTTCCAGGACATTCAACACCTTCTTTTGACCTCTGAGGGCACCAAGCACACACAAGGGGCACATGCACATACATATGAAAGCAAATCACCCACAGACATAAATTTAAAAATTTTTTAAAGATACATCATGAAATTATAAAGGATTGAAAAATATTTTTTTAAATTAGCATTACAGGAAAGAGAGGTAGGCTAATCTCTATAAGTTCCAGGACAGCCAGAGCTGTTGTTACAGAGAAACTCAGTCTCAAAAAACCACCCCCCAATAGCTTTTACCCAGCAACACACATAAGCAAGCATTATACCCATCAATACTACAACTGTACAATGTTTATATATATATATATCATCTTATTTAAAAAGCAAGCAAGCTGGGTGCAGTATGCACACCCTAGTCCTCTGCTAGACTAAGAGTCTAGACAACACACCAAAACTTTGTCTTCTAAAAAGTCCAAAGAAACAAAAGCTCTAACATTTCACATTACCTACCACTTGCAAACAACTGATTCAAATCTGGGCAGTGGAAGGAAAAAATGGAAAAGAGGAGGTAAATGGCTGCCTTTGTGGAAGAAGCTATAGATGCTCCTGAGGGTCAAACAGGAGGAAAGCAAATGGCCGGAGGAATTCACAATGTAGCTGCTGCTGCTGGAAACAAGAGCTTCAGGGAAATAATGGGGACAAGTATTAGATAGGAAAGGGTGAACAAAAAAAGAGAAAAACACCTAGACGGGAAGGTGGAAACAAATTTAGATTTTCATTATATCTATAAAATTTCACTTCTGCAGTGGAGAACCTGTCCAGTAAATCGCCTGCCATGCGTTGTCCCCAGAACTCATATGAAAACGCTGGGAATGGTGGTGTACACTTGCATCACAATGTCAGGCAAGCATTCTACTACTAGGCTGTAGCCCCAGCTTGCTTTTTCCTTTAAAATTTTATTTACTTATTAATATGTAGGTATTGTGTCTCTGTGTAGGCCTGCATATGTCTGCACATTGCTTGAAGAGACCAGTAAAGGGTGTCAGATCCTCCGGAACTGGAGTTACAGCTAGCTGTGAGCTACCACGTGGGGGATGGGAACCAAACTTAGGCCCTCCATAGAGTAGTCAGTGCTCTTGACCTCCGAGCAGTTCTTCCAGCCTGCTTTTCACCTTTTATTGTGAAGGAGGTTCTCACTAAATTGCCCACGTTGGCCCTGAACTTTCTCTGTAGGCCAACTTGTGATTCTCCTGCCTCAGCCTTCCAAGTAGCTAAGACTGCAGGTCCATCTGCTGTTGACTGAAATGGGGTCTATGTAAGCCTGGCCTTGAGCTCATGCTCTCCTGCTAGACCCCTCAGGTGCTAGTGCTGCAGTCAGATGCCATTGGGGACAGGAAGGTCCTCAATTCAAACTTTAAGCACAAACAAACTGAGACATGGGAAGTTTTAGGATTTTTAGATGAGATCTTACTACACAGCCCAAGTTGCCATCAAACTTCCAGTGGCTTCAGCCTCCAAGTATTGAAATTACAAAAACAAATGTTTCAAAACAAACAAAAACCCTTGTCAATCTTAAGACTTATTCAAAGACTAAAATAAAAAATTCATTTTTAAAAGAAAAATAGAAATTTTATCAGGAACGGAGCAGAGATTGCACTGAGAGGGAAGGACATCGGCAAGAACGCCTGGCTCCCGGGAGAAGGAGTGGAGAATGGTGACAGTAGGCTGAAAGAAGAAAGAGAGGACGTGCTGAATACAAGGGAAAGATTGCCTCCACAGGGGCAGCCGGTGAGGGAAAGAGCACAAAAAAATGGGCTTGGAGTAGAAGATGTCAGCTAAGAGATAAGCAGCTGAAGAGCCAGCTTCAGACTGCGTGCCTAGGGTGGGGGACAGCAAAGCTGGAAGAGAAAACAGACATCTGAAACAGACCTTAGAATCCAGACGCAAACCTAAGGGTGAAGCTCAGCAGGCTGCCATACAGCAAGCACTGGTGAGGTGGAGTACCAGCTTTCCCAACTGTGTGATTCTCCAGAGCTCAACAGCCCAGGGGTTGTGGGCGCAGTACAATGGAAGCAGGCACTGAGGTGGCTGGGTTCAGCATGGCAGTTGTTAAAGAGACAAGTAAAGAAGAACTGAGGCTCTGTAGAGGAGAAGGCCTTAGAAGCATAGTTGGTCATCAGAAGGAGGGCTGACGGAATGAGAAGATAGCAATTTCTGGACTGCGGATCTCCAAGAAGTCAAAGCAAGCTGGGAGGTTAGCAGAGGTAAACTGCTAAAGTCCTGCATGACAAAGAGGGAGCCTGCCAGCTTCTGGAGACAGTCAGGGCACACGTACTAGAGAAGACAGCAGAAGGAAAGACTGAAAAAGTTCAAGAGGGATGCAGTGGAGAACAGAGTATCTAGGCCACAGAATGACGAAAGGCGAAGGAGTGGACTCCAACAGATTGTTGTAGAACCTTGACATAATGAAGGCAAGAAGCAGACAAACCAGAGACCAGGATGAAGGGGGGGGGGAAGCATGTGAGCTTTAGAGAGCTGGGGTCTCTATTGGCAAATGTTTGGATGCAAGATGAAAGAAGCAGGTAGAGCAGCCCCAACTGTGAGTGGCGGATAGAAAACATCCTCCTCTACAGAGGAAGTGAGGGAAGATCTTGTGGGACCTGGAGCAATTATCAGAAGAGGACAATTATTTTTGCCTTTATGTATACATGTGTTTCTATGTGTGTGCACATGTGGAGATCAGAGGACAATTTATAGAAGTTGGTTCTCTCCTTTTACCATGTGGGTTCTGGGGATAAAACATAGGTGGCCAGATTTTACAAGAACATTTATCTGCTGAGTCATATCACCAAGGAGATGAGATGTTAAAAGGACTCAATGAGGACTAGAAATTAACTCTTCCATACTATGTGCACACCAACCCCAAAAATCACAGGTAAAGTCAGATTGTCTGTGGATCAGGTCCTGAGAAGCAAGGGGAGGGACAGCTGTGATTCTTCTGAGGATGGCATCTGAAACCCAAGGGAGGACTGAACAAATACGTGGTGCCAGCGGGTAAAGCAGTGTACTGCTGGGATGGGGGGGTATACCACTGGGCTGCTACTGCAGCTTCAATGTAACACGGGAAGTAAGCCGGGCAGTGGGTGGTGCACACTTTTAAACCCTGCACTTGGGAGGCAGAGACAGGCAGATCTGTGAGCTCGAGGCCAGCCTGATCTACAGAGCAAGTTCCAGGACAGGCTCCAAAGTGACAGAGAAACCCTGTCTCGAAAACAAAACAAAACAACAACAAAACAAAATGAAAAAACAGGCAAAGCAGGAAGCGCCATCTCCCTGTTCAGAAGCTCCCAGGGGTGGCCAGCTAGCTATGTCACATTGACCATCTCATACACACAAGCACCTCTTCCCTATAGGCCTAAACACACAAGAGAATAATGAGATGCCCATTCTCCACACCTGGAGTCTCAAAGTTCCCTTGAATGCACATTTTTCAGTGTTATTTATTTCAGAATCTGGGAAGAAGCCTTTTCAACCTGGCTACCATACCCAGGACAGGCACAGCCACTTCCTCAAGGGGAGAGTGCTAGTGTCTGGGCAGTGATCTGCTTCCTAATGATGGTGTAGGAACATCCGAAAGTAGAGACGCTGCCAGAGAAGGTAGGTGCCTCCACATCAGAGCATCAGAAACTATTTCCTAAGCCTGCGTCACTCAGCATCTCTAACACTGCTTAGAAATTGCCACCACAGACAATTTGACTCTCTACCCTCAGGAGTTTGAAAGCCCCTTGTGACTCAGCTTCAGTGAGCTGGCTCCAACTGGCCCAGAACCTTTCTTTTGAGAAACATCAAAGATCAAACATTTCCAAGGGCAGAGATCAGACCTGTCAAACCACAATTTAGTGAGACTGGACATCACCAGTTTACAGCTCATGCAGATGAGAACGGACTCAATTACTTACTTGAAATTCATTTTCATTCTGAGCTTGTTCGGATCCCTCTTTATTACAGGACCTCTATGAATGAGAAAAAGCAAACACTTCTGGTGAGATGGAGCACACTGAGCAGACACTAACTTTGCAACCACAGAACGGGTGTTCACAAACACCTCAGCTCTTTAACAAGGGCTTTTTGGCCACCCAGGTGAGCAGCGTAATCTAAAGGCACCAGTATCTCCAGCACTTGTGCCAACATCTTCAAAGTGCTTCATCTTTTTACAAGGAAAGGGACATGCTGCTGGGGACTGTCCCATGTACCTTTCACAATCTCACGGCTAGAGGGCAGTCACTACAAAGTGTCCTCTTCTAAAGCTCTGCCTGATTAGCTGTGTGGTTCTCCCAGGGGAACCTGGAAAACAGGACTGTCCACACATCTGTGGAGGGCTGCAGGCAGCAGAGCTTATGGACAGGGAGGAAAGCACTAAGCAGGCAGCAGAGTTAGTGTGAGCTCTGCACACCTGCCCCTTGCTCAGACTAGCCCTTCACTCCATCCGTCCAAGTTCAGGCTAGGCTGTTCCGCTAGCGAACAGGACTCATTTAACAAAGCTCTAGGACTGCCTGGTAATTGGGACATTAGGAGCTACTCTCACAGCACTTTCCTCCTTAGGAAACTGAGAATTACCGGCAACCAACTTTCTAACAAAATACTGGACCATTGGCTGACAAAGAACTTGGGCTACTTCTTACAGGTCACATATTTCCAAACCACCCCCACCCCGAGCACTTTAAAACTGAAACACTGTCTTTTAGTAAGGGTTAGGAAAAAAATAAAATCAGAAATTTAAGGGTTGTGTCAAATTGTACACTCAGCTGCCTTCCAAACTGTTATGTTACAATTATATCAGGTTTACTTCAGCCAACTCAAAAGGAGTCCTGTAAAGGAACCCTCTGGAAAGAATTACACTAACAGATTCTTGAACATCCCATAAAAAACATACCTTGCCATTCCACAGCTTTATCAAAAACACCTGTACCAAGGGTGGAAAGTGTGGACAGGAAAAAAAGATGCCACGTTAAGCAACACTGGCTACTCTAGCAGCATTCAAAACACCCTGTGATTTAAAGCAACCGTTCTCACCATCATATACCAAATAACATTCCACAGATATCTTAATGTGTTCGGTATAAAAAAGTACATCTCTTACTTCTTTATAAAAGCAGACAAAGTAAACATCCATGTTCATAAAGTTATCTGCAAAAGGTTCCTAATCGCTTGTATTTACACATATGCAATAGTAAATATAACATGCGAGTGAGTACATTTGAAACAGGGCAGTCAGTACAAACGGTGTGATATTTTCATTTGTGTAATCTGCACTTCTCTGATGAAAATCTAGATGTTACAGGTTAAATCCCGTTACAATGAAAGACACAAAACCAAAAATATAACAATAACCCCTAGCTCTTTGCTGAGAGTGTGTCAACCTGAGGACAGAGTGACTACGTATTGGAAAACTTTACTGCTCCTCATACCCAGAGCAGTGTGGCACTGGCATCGCTGCTTGACTCTTACACAGCAGTCTATCTCTAGGAATCTAGGGGTTCCTAATGAATAAGGGGCTCCACTCGTTATTGTCAGTGTTCCCCCAAAGCACAAAGAAAATCCTGATGTTTCTTGCTGTGGTTGGTGTGGGCAAGCAAGCACTGTGCTGTGCTGCACACGGCAAACATGCTCAATGCTTACTTAGTGCCTGAGAGCTGGCTAGTTGTCCATGCCCTGGAATGGGGGAACTGGCCGTTTGTGAACCAGGAGACCAGATGGGGCTAAATGTCTCTTTAACGGTCTATGAGCTTTTTTTCCTTCAAGGGAAGGTATGAATAAAACAAGTTCCTTGGTCTGATAGTTACGTATCAATACTCTTCAAAAAGTAGAGACAAAGAAGTAATTTGTACATCCTATAAAATTTGCTGTAACGGGATTTGACCTGTACAAAACCCTAAATGACTATGGTTATTCCTACGCTGTTACTGCTCTAACTGTATCTTAGGGAGACAGTTAACACGTTGTTAGCTAACAGAAGTCCTTTCCCTGTCTAATGGTGCTCTCTCCAAAACAAGTCACTTTACCTAAAAATACAAACTAGCTTAGTCCCAGGACCACTCTTTTTTAGCATATTGTTACAAGAAGTGGACATAAATTCCATGCTACTTTTCCCACACTCACCCACCCCATCCCGTTCCAAATAAACCTATGATTTAATTTAACATAAGAGCACCATCGCAAAGGCAAGATGGACTTCTGCAGTCCCATGTTCTGTTTCCTCAGTACAGAATGAGCTGGAACTCAGGAGAAGGGAGAGGAAATCTCAAAGCAGAAAGACAGATGGTTATGAATCATGACTACTAAAGGCAGATGCCTCTTATGATATATCAGGCAGACTACTTATTCTGTGTGAGACACATACTCTGTGAGAGTCCCAAAGACTGTCCAGAAGACACAAAATAAATTAGGACTTGGGATCTGTAATAATTTACATTAGTGGCACATTTTATTTAAGGCAAGAATTAAAATACAGTATATAAACATTTAGCACAACTTTACATTTTCCTCCAACTAACTTGAAAGTTGAAATTATCTTTCAAGTTACAAAATTTAAATTTTAACATTAGTCATTTTATTAATTGTATGTGCTGGTGGTCAAAAAACAATCTTTGAAAGCTGGTTCTCTCATTCCACTGTGGGATCCAGAGACTGAACACTGTCAGGTTAATATGGCAAATTGTATTTATATTCATTGAGCTTCCTGCTAAACCTACTTAATATCTACCTATTTTATTACTTATTTTGTGTTTTAAAGAGGTTTTATTATTCTCTTTTTAAATTTTTTTTTTTTTTTTTTGAGACAGGGTTTCTCTGTGTAGCTTTGGTGCCTTTTCTGGAACTAGTTCTTGTAGACCAGGCTGGCCTCGAACTCACAAAGATCCTCGTGCTGGGATTAAAAGCGTGCACCACCACTGTCCGGCAAGGTTTTATTATTCTGTTTTTAATTATGTGTATTCATGTGTATTTGAGTGTGGATCTGAACATGTGTGTGCAACGCCTGTTGAGGCCAGGCGTTGGATGCCCTGGAATTGGAGTTACATTTGACTGTGACCTGGGTGCTAGGAACTAAGCCTGGGTCCTCTGTAGGTACAATAAGTGCTCTTAACCACTGAGACATCTCTCTTGTCCCTGCAATAATTATTTTTATTGGTCTTGTTTAAAATTAAAATATAAATTCTGCCAGCTAAAGTGAGAGAATAGAGGACTTCCATTTTCACTTCTTGTCTGTCTACTACTTAGAAGCTATGCGAAGGTAAGCACCATACTTGGAACCAGGTTTCAAATGCTGCCTTTATCAGACGCAAATCGCACTTAAAGCTTTATGGTTTTGGTTGCTTTTATTTTCAGTTTTTTTTTTCCTTTTCTTTTTCCCCAGAGCAAATAGATTAAGAAAAACTTACAAAGAACTCTGGAGAGTGAGAGGGTTTCCAGGGAGAAACATCTTTGATTTTGTATCTTAAGGGGGTTCCTTGTTTTTCCCAAGGCTGGCAAATTTCTCTTCCAGTGAGCTAATCCTTAGTTTGATTTTATATTTTAAATCAGATTGTGAAAGTAGTAAATGTTTCTGCACAGAATATTGATCTTCAGAACATTCTATCCTAGGAACTTAATAAGACAATGTAGTTCATGCCTTTAATCTCAGCACTCAGGTAGCTCTGAGTTCAAGGCCAGATTGATCTACAAAGTGAGTTCCAGGTCAGTCAGGGCCTGTGCATCTTAGCTGTTGCTAAACAAACAAAAAGGAGCAGGAATAGGTGATGTTGGAGCATTTGATATAGTTTGCTACTGTTTAACTTTAGCTGCATCTTCCGGCTAGAGCTCTGTGGCAGAACCCTCATGTAGCACAGGCCTCAATCTCCAGCACTCACTTGCATACACGGTATTCCCTACTAGAGCAAGTTTCTGTCTCTAAACTCACTGAAACCATCACATAAAACAAAGTGACCTTAATAGATTATATTTTGGGCATTTCTTAATAAAAGATTCCTCAAATAATTAATGAGGGAAAGGGATTTAACTAAACTCTAATAACAGTTTGTCTGTGAGTTGAAACAGTAGCACATCAGTGTGCCAAGTCTGGGTTTGTAGATAAAAATCAATTAGTGAAGCTGGGTGGTGGTGGCGCACACCTTTAATCCCAGCACTCGGGAGACAGAGGCAGGCAGATCTCTGTGACTTTGAGGCCAGCCTGGTCTACAAGAGTTAGTTCTGGGACAGTCTCCAAAGCTACAGAGAAATCCTGTCTTGAAAAACCAAAAATAAATAAATAAATAAATAGATTGGTGAGGTGCATGGAGAAGGTGGTGTGAAGTGACAGGTAACTGTTTACAATGTCCTCTTTTTAAAATTATGTGTAGGTATTAACGTGTGCAGGTGCTCACAGGGGCAAAGGGCTAGATCCCTTCGCAGCTGGAGTTACAGGCAGGTGTGAGCAGCCACCATTGCCTTTTATTTTTCTTCTTTTTTTTTGGTTTTTGGTTTATTGAGACAGAGTGTCCTGAAACTCACTCTGTAGACCAGGCTGGCCTTATCACAGAGATCCACCTATATTTCTACCTCCCAAGTGCTAAGATTAAAGGCGTACATCACCACCGCCCAACCACCATTGCCTCTTTTTAAACAAGTCTTTCTATAAAATATAAACTGCAGGGGGATGAATGGTCTTCATAGTAGCTTAGGTTTCATTGTACAGCCTAGGTCTGGCTTGGAAGACTTGAGGTCTCCACCCCAGTTAGTCAACCACACTCAATTCTAGGTGACTTATTTTTTTTATTGTTATTGTTTGTTCTTTCAGTTGTTTAAGAGGATCTTACTATATTTCAAGCTAGCCTAGAACTTAGCTAATGACAAGTCAAGCTGCTTGACTCTTACTGTCAGAATGCTGAGATCAAAGGCCTTGCACCATCATGTCTGGCAAGAGACACCTTAACATGGAAGGCAAAACCTGTTGTGATCCCTAGTCACCATAATTCTGCTCAGTCCTCGCTACTAATTAATGCTATTGCTCCATTTTAGGCGAGTCAAGAAAAAAACAAAAACCAAAAAACACAGAGTGCTGTGTAGAGAGCCCTCACAAAGCCATATGACTCAGTTAACATAATTTTACTTTTTACTTGTTATGACTATGTGCCTGCACATGTGTATGTATGAATGTAGAAGCGCACAATCCATGGTGCTCCCATGGCAGTCAGAAGACAATTTCCAGGAATCATTTTTCTCCTTCCACCATGAGTTCTGGGAATCAGATTCACTTAATTGAGCTTGTTAGGGAATGCTTCTACCCACTGATCCACTTGCTGACCCTCAACATTTGTAGCATGTGTACATCTCATTATTATCATGAGTCATAGCCTTTTTCCTTCTTGGTTTCAATGGAGAAATAAAAAAAAAAAAACCTAATACTTTACAGAAAAGGTTCTCAATGCAATTGTTTAAAGTGTAGCTTGTATAAATTACCTAGTGGAATCTAAACAAGTCATTTCTATGATCTTATTACCTAGTCTACCTTCCTGGACATTAGCTATCTTTAATATAGGTAATTTAATGAATGTGGGTGACAGATTAGAGCTTCTAAGAGCCTTGGGGACATATGACAACGTTAACAAATGGAAGCCAGGGACTTTCAGGGCATTCTCAGGGTTTGGATCTTTTCCAGTCAACCTGATAATTGATCTAAGGCTTCTTACATTTTCAAGGGTTTGCAAGCAACTTTTCCCCCAGGAATCTCCCCTCTCCAGTCTGGCATACTTCCAGGTTGGGTCAACACTGCTAGACTTCATACAGGAACTGACATGGTGAGGTGAGGAGCTGAGGGTGAAGAAGAGTGACACCAATCCCAATAGATATATGTGCACAGTGTGCTGCAGCTGAAGGAAGAACCTGAGTACTTCAATTGCATTCTCAAGTTGAAGTTATGAATTTTGAAGATTAATAAATGTCATTTTCTACTGAGGAAACAGAAGATAAGGGTCTGGTTTGCCTTGAACAAAAAAAGCAAAAAGAAAAGATGATATTTCAATATATAACATCCTAAATCTTAAATCACTACCTCTTTAAGCACAGCACAAACTGTAGCTGGTGCTACTTAACAAGCATTACAATTTTCTTTTTAAAAAGCATTTCTTGAATCCAAAAATTAAAGAAAGAAATGAAAGCTGTAGAGAATGCTCCAACTTCAGAGATCTCATACTATACCGTGAATCGTGTCTGTCACCTGGAAACCAGAGTGCTCCAGGCACGATCGCATGGACAAGCCTGCAGCAGAGAACACATGCACACAGCTAAAGTGGTACATTACCCCCCACACCCTTCACTCCCCCAACATATTCCTTCCCAGAGAGTGGTGGGCTGTGGTCACGTCATCATTCCAGAGATCAGATCTGCATTAGCTTTGTGCTATAATCCCAAACATTTCCAACCAGCAAGGCAAAACACTTTTGAATAGGCCAAAATTAGACATGTCAGTCTGTGGTTTACTTAGTTACCAAAAGGCACCAAAGCAGGTATTGAAAGACAATAGGTAGTGATTTGGCAACTATATCTGAAGAGTCAGGCCAAACGGGTGCCCATTATAGGACTTTGTTTCACTTCTGCCTCAGAAACAGGTATAATTACACTGTTCTCAAAGCACAGGGGATCTTTGTAAAGCAGTTACCCACACAACTTGAACTCATAATGACATTAATGTAATAAGGAAAAGATAGTAGTTCCCAGGCCTCAATGCCAGGGCCTGGCTCTCCACCAGGCACCTCAGTGCTTAAGTCACTGCACAGTGTATGACCTCAATTCTTCTGAGAAATATTCACGGGCAACTGATTTCTCAGTAGCCAATACTTCTGTATTGATTATCTACAAGCTATTCTTTATTTTACTACAGTTTAATTTTTAAACTGCACTTGAGAGAAAATAAGAAGACATTTTGTTTCCAACATTTTGAATTCAAAAGGGACAGTGTACCAAATTGTAATCTTTGCATCTCTAATAAATATCTGCGTTGTGCCTTGATACCTTTAATTATATTATAGTTAGTATTCAACAAACAGTAATATTAGCCTTCTGTTATTCAAAAAACAAACTCAAACATTTTTGCAGACAGTACTCAAAGGAACTCTCTGATGTGGCACAGATACTCGTGCCCAGGTTTTCCACAGTGGGGAGGCAGTCTCGCCACTCGGAGGATCAGGCCGAATAGTTACTGTTCCGACACAGGGATGACAAGGCACTCCTCTGAGCCAACTGGAACAACTTACACAACATGGACAACACACACTGACATTTGTGTCTTCCACAATTTATGATAAATAAACCGTTTACTAATCAGTTAAACTTGCTTCCTTGCTAAAGGATGCTGCAGAGCTCATGTTCCTTCCCAGTATCAGAATGGAAAAACCCCAAGTTACACTGAGAGCTGGCTTTGGAGGTCTAAACTAGCTTCTAATAATTATATTGACATTCAAAGTGGAAAAGGCTGAACTATTTATTTTTCAAATTTTATACTGAACTACTTTAGTTCACAGTAATTTTATATTTGAGCTTTGTTTTCATCACCTGTTCAACTAATAAAAACAGCCCTTTATTTAAATAAAACCTAGGTTATGTAAAAGTCAGTACATTGTGCTGCCATGTTCAGAACAGCCCAGTATGTTCGGGTTTAACAATTTTCTACAAATACTGGAGTGTGCACCTTGTCTCATCCTGTGCTTATATCTTCAAAAGCAACAATTCTCACCTTACACACAAAACTTTTACATAAGTCCCTAAAACTCACAAAGATCCTAAACAGAACCTGCAGGACACTGCT